ACTCAATTCACAATAATTTTCATGGAAAATGGAATTTTTCAGATTTTTTGAAGCCCCCTCATATTTGGCTGTTTTATCCCACCTGAATTTAGAGATCATCTGAACAACAAATTTGGTACATTAAACAATAAAGACCGAAGACCAGAAGAGTTATGGGATGACATCAAGAACATCATACGTATCTTGGTTTTCCTTGCATTATATTATAAAATAGACACTGGAGGGGGAGAGAAAGGAATAGCCAGAAACACCACCATAGAAAGCTTGTTAGTTCATCTTCTGCCTATAACTGATTGTCATACCTAAAATGGGGCTACAGCATGCCCAGTGAAGGAGGCTTCCTGTGGAGCTTCTGTATTACATAAGATTATAGGTGGAAGCTTGAACCACATTCAGATCTTCAGAGATGGGAAATTTCCACTTTAAAGGATTAGCGGACCAGACTGGAGCAGCTAGAAGAACAGAAGATACTTTTTGAAAGAAAGATCTACAGGAAAACTACAAAACAATAGAGGCAGACTGACTGTTACTACAAGAATAAGCAAGTTGCTTGCCCAGGAAACATCAAGGCAAGTGGCCGGGTCCCCTCAGTGCAAACCCCCTTCCAAGACTAAAACTCAATACACGATCTGATTGGTGACTACGCTCGTCACCGATAAGGGGAAGTGAGAGAAAAACAGCAATGAAGCTGCAAGCTAAGCCCTACAATGTTCTATAGACTTCTGTGAACCCGTTGGCCAGCTGTGTGGCAAGACCTAGGGACTCTTGAGCCCAGAGTCAGTGACAAAACCACAGAGGACTAGAGTGGAGAGTGAAGCGTCCAGCTGATAAGAAGAGAGGGCATCTGCACAAAAACACCCACACTTGCAGATAATACCCACTTGACCTGGCTTCAATGACTGGATGATCAGAGCTCAACCAGAAGAAGAAAAAAAAGGGAAAATAGTGTAATCTGATATAATTTGATGAACTTGACCTACACCTATGGATGCAGTAGCTCAAAAGAGGGAACAAATCCTTATAGCAAAGATCATTCCCACTCCCTCCATACACAGAGTAGACAGGGATGGGCAACTTGGACATTGGCTACCCAAAATGGGGGGTGCTACAAAGGCAAGAAGTGACTGACTTACAAGCTTTCAAGAGGGAGCCTAGATCCAGAGGGCATGGAGGAAGGTAGAATCTCCACTGAGTAGTGTCTAATCTGTCTAGGCGGGGCTGATTAAATGAAATGCAGATAGGACTCTTGTGATACAATAGTAAATAATTGTTATCAGGACTGATTGTGAGGGTTGGAAATGTAAAGGTAGATGTTTTTTAGCAAGGAAGGAAGGGAGTGATTAAATTTTCAGCCTAAGAGTGGAGGTCCCTGGGACCATCAAGTGAGAACAGTGGAGAGTGGGACCCTACCCAGAGAAGCAGTAATGCCTGAGATGGAGGCAGAGATGATGACGTGGAGAGATGGAAGTGTTGGGGACTTTAGACACAGAGAGGGAGAGGGGCTATGTGGTGATGACCGGGAGGCAGGCTTGCAGTGTATACCCTTAGGTTGGTTGATGATGCACGGAGGGGATTGTAACCATAGCAATGAAATGATATACTATAGGATGAATGTAAAACTAATGTTCTCCCATGTAAACTATCACATAATTCACAATAAAACATTTTTTAAAAAAAGAACATCATA